TTATTATTATTATTATTATTATTATTATTATTATTATTATTATTATTGATCATTGCACAGTCTGCCAGATATTCAGACTGGATTTGGCATTTTTGTCTACCTATCGAGCCTTTACCAAGGGTCTGGGATAGGCAGATGCAGATGTTTGTCGGGGTTACAGAGATTGTCTCAGGATGGAAGCTGTTCCAAGTAAAGCTGCCTTCTGCAGTTGACTGATGGGAGAATTTGTCAATGCCTATGGTGTTCAAGTAGCGCTCCAGTTGTTTGGGGATTGCACCCAAGGCACTTATTATTATTATCATTGTTGTTGTTGTTTAATTTCAATTCAATTCTGGGACTGGTAAAAACTTAACAATTCAAGTCCCAACCAAGGACCTAAGAGCTATTAAGGTAGTGCACCAATGTACCTACTATCCCTGTCCTATTGTTTCTTTTTATTTTTCTTATATGTATCGATTTCATGCATTCATAACTATATTATACTTATACCTGTTATCTTATAATCGCTTGACAAAAAATTAAAAAAAAAATACATAGACAATTCCAACTAGGGTGTTTTTTTGCAGTCAAGAGGATATTATTATTATTATTACTACTATTACTATTATTTTTATTGCAATGAATTGAGAGGGAACATTATGAGTGTTTTACAATAATAATAATAAAATAATTATTACTATTATTATCTTTTATTCATTAAACATGAAACTCAGTCAACTGAACATTTAAAAATGTATCACAAATATCATTGACTGGCTCTGATGGTTGATACGGGATGCTACCAGTATCAACCAAGTCTCTTCTTAAAATGTACGATGTTCCAAGTAGCGCCATCTTTTGCAGCTTTGCTGGCGCTACAGCAGGAAGCTGCAACTTCTTGACGTATTTATTATTATTACTATTACTAGTGTTGTTGCAATGAATTGAGAGGAACAGATTATGAGTGCTTTAGGATGAAAATTATTATTATTATTATTATTATTATTATTATTATTATTATTATTATTGCAATGAATTGAGAGGAACAGATTATGAGTTCTTTAGGATGAAAAAGATTGTTATTATTATTATTGGTTAATCTTTTGTGAGATTCACAGCCTCTGGGGCTGGTTGGTAGCTCAATAGCTCGAATCTTAACCAAGGACCTAGGAATTGTTAAGGTAGCGTTGGAGGATATAAGCTGTTCCAAGTAGCGTGGTTTTTTGTAGAATCAGGGTATTCAAGTCTGACAATTTCAGGATTTCCAAATAGCAAGGCAGCCCTTTGGATATTGCTCCAAGGGCTCCAATTACAATTGAGATAACACACAATTTCTTATTTTTATTTTTAATTTATTATTATGATTATTATTTCAATGAATTGAGAGGAACAGATTATAAGTGCTTTAGGATGAAAAATATATGATGATGATGCCAATGAATTGAGCGGGAACAGATTATGAATGTTTTAGGACGAAAAAACGTATTTAGTATTCTAATTATTATGGCAATGAATTGAGAGGAAATGACACTATTATCATTGTCATCATTTTTGCAAGGCAGCGAGTTTTTTAAAAGACACTGCAATTGCATGCATGCACCGGCAGCAAGTAACCAAGATATCCATCCGTTATTCTTAAGAGGGCAGCCGAGAAAGAGCCGCCCGAGCGCAAAGCCGGGCAAGAAGCAAGGAGGGGAGGCGGGGCGGGGCAGGAAAAAGGCTGCGGCGGGGAGGAGGAACCCAAAGCGCGGCTCAAGCCGCCTCACCCGAGCCTGCCGCTCCAACTGGGCGTGAAGTCCGGAGCCCTTCAGCCTCTCCACGATCTGGGCGATGGTCAGGGAGAGACCGTCATCCGCGCCGGCTAGCATGGCTCCCGCGGACGAAAGAGGGCCCTTTGCTTTCGGCCGTTGCCGCACGGGGGACCGATTTCAGCAACGCTCCTGCCCAGCCCAGTCTAGGCGCAACCCCAGCGAGTTGCCTCGGCGTTGCCGGGCAACGGCGGGGGGGGCAGGTGCGGTGGGGAGGAGTTCCCCAGGAAACGCCGCCCGGGAAAGCCACGTTCCTCCCGCTTGCAAAGCGACCGAGCGTGGGAATTCCTTTGTAGAGGGAGAGACTGTTAAAATCATTTCACGCAGACTCAGAAACATGTTCTCGTCTCTTTTTTTAAAAGAGTCCATATAAAATCAACCTGTGTCAAATAAAAGGCTTTGTAACTTGGCAGGGCCGGCCTTTTTGGGAATATATTCAGAATCCTTGCTTGATCAGGAGTCCCTATATACCATTCTGGATGGATGGATGAATGAATGAATGAATTATTGGCCAAGAATTTGTCTTGGTGCATATGCTCTCATTGTACATAAAAAGAAAAGATACATTTGTCAAGAATCATAAGATACAACACTTAGCATAGTCATAAGGTACAAATAGACAATCAAATCATATTAGGAAACAGTCAATATAAATGGCTGTCCAATCTCTTTTTAAAACAATTATCTTCTTAAATAAAAAAAAGATTCAATGGAGGTGAAGGGAAACTTTTCTCTACACAAGTTTTGCAAAGAAAGGAAAACAAGAAATTGGAACAAGCAAGCAAATTGGTCATTAATCTGAGAAAGAGAAATTATATTCATTTATCAGTTCCTTCGGTTTTTATGTACTACCCATCTTGCAGAAACTCAGATTGCAATTACTTCATGAATATGATTTGGTGGATTTACTTGTCCGTAAAAAGAAAGTGGTGCACATATCCTAACTACTGTATGAATATGTTTGCTTAAAAAACATCAAAACAGGATAAATGAAAAAAAAATGTATACTCAAGAAAGACTAAGCTTGTAAAAGAACAGAAAATATGATGCAAGCAATTGTTCCTATTAAACTGAAAATATAGTTTAACGAATCAAATAAAGATTGCCAATAGTCATAAATAGCAAACAGTAATCCAGATCAATGCTGAAAGCCTTAGAAAAAATATCAATTCAGTAAGTAAGAGAGCCCAAATTTCGAATTTGGCATAAACAACATTATAACCCAAGAATGGTTTCCTAACTAATTCACTTTTTGTGGAGAAAATTATTCTTCACATCAGGGCATACTTCCACAATTTCGTTAGCTGTTCTTCCCAAAAGGAAGGGCAAAGCTCCTTTCAATTCAAAATTCCTGCAGCAGAAAGTACAGTATATTGAGCACAAACTCAGTGAACTTTGAAGAAATAACAAGAATATTCTCACAGTTCAAAAATTATTAATACAGTTTGATTATGTGCTATCAACCACATACTATAACCCTCTTCAAAACCCTTCTAAATCTAAGACATAGGCATTACTGAAAAGCAATGCAATGCAAAATGAAATAAACACCATATTTATGACACTATAGATAAGAATAACTTCTAATAATAGTTTCAGAAATAACTAGTTTGACTGTTTCAGACCTGAAAAAACCTTAGAAAAAACAAACATATTTTATCTATGTGTGGACAAAGCAGTTGATCATGTTATAGTTTTCATGTTAGATAAATAGCTGTTGCTACTTTGGTTTACCTTCAACATAAAACTCAAGTAACTGGGGAAAAATGCATTAGTCAGACACTTAAAATGGAGTATTTTAAAGGTTAATCTGTTTTCCGTAAAGAAGAAAATGAGTTCTGTGCAAATTATCTCTGAACTCCAGACTTCTGTGTTCTAAGGTGGAATTTCATGATTAAATACAGGAATGGTACATGCAACTTGTCACCATAACCTTTTCTTGAAAGAAATGGCATTACATTTACCACATAAAACTAAATAATACTATATATTTCTTATTGTTGTAATATCCTCTAAGATTCCTATTATTGATGAAATAGACTAAAATACTTTTGCCTTTAGTATTTTAGTATTCCTCAATCTTTTCTCAAGTAGTCTTTAACATACAGCAGTTCATTTAGTGACTGTGCAAAGTTACAACTGGACTGAAAAAAAGTGACATAAACGTTTTTGTGATCAAAATTCAGATGCTTGTCAAACTACTTTTATTTATGATACATTATATTTATGGTTTAATATCCCAGGTCATGTGATCACGTTTTGCAGCCTTCAATGCAGAAGCCAGATTCACCTAAGAAGCATGTTACTAAATTAACAACTATGATTAGGAAAGGTTGTAAAATGAGTCAAAATTCATTTAACACCTGTTTCGCTTAGCAACATAAATTTTGAGCTCAGTTGTGGTCCTAACTTGAGGACGATCTCTATTTTCACTCCGTGTAGAAAAACAAGCTGCATTAAAAGAAAGAATTCTCAATACAGCAGAGAGAACAAAACCTGGAGTTCTACATTAATCACCTGGGCTGGCAATGTGAAAGTATTCTTAGGAGAATATAGTATATTTCTTCACATTGAATGAATACCAAGAGTATTTCCTTGTTTTCATCAGTTATATGTCAAAGGCTACTTCATTCAGTTCTCCAAAAGCTTTCTTCTTAAATCAGGGTAGGAAACAGATCAAGACTGTTGGCAATGTGCCATTTATTTTAAAACTAGGTCGATACCTGTGCTTCACTACGAAACTGTGTGCTTAGTTTTTGGGGAGGAAAATAAGGGGTGGGGGGGAAATCTGCCTCTGCCTACCAGCATCCATCTGTATTCATCTGGCTAGCGTCCTGTCAGTGTGTGAGAAAGTTGAGGGCTGTTTGGAAACTGAAAGAGTATTTGTTGTGTGAGCAAGAAGGAGACAGCAAGGAGCCTGGGCATGGCTTAGCTCAACTGTTCTGTACTAAAGCTGCTTGCTGCTATGAAACTGAAACTGAAACTCCTCTCCTCTGCTTGTGTTTTGCACTTGGAACAGATTTCTTTTTAGGTGGGGAGGGGGAGTAGAACTCCTTAGCATCAGAATGTGTTAATAATAATAATATAGGAAATACTCTAAATGCTCTGATGCTCATTTCGAAAAATCCTTTCTTAGTGAACACCTAGAAACCAAGAGGAACAAATGTGCCAAATTTCAAGTTTGTAGGCTTTACAGTTCTGGAGATATGATGATGTGTAAGCGGTCTTTCACTTTTATATATATATATATAGATGTTTTCAGGGGTGGGATTCAAATTTTTAACAACCGGTTCTGTGGGCGTGGCTTAGGTGGTGGGTGTGGCTTGGTGGTCATGTGACTGGGTGGACATGGCTTGGTGATCATGCTATTGGCTGGGTGTGTCCAACTCAATATCACTCACATCGAGATTATTAAACACTCACATGTTTCCTGGGGAACAGCCGATTAGCTGGGACTCAGGAGGTGGAGAATAGATGGGGGCGGAGCCAGTCAGAGGTGAGATCTGGCGGTTCTCCAAACTACTCAAAATTTTCCGCTAGGAGATATGAGTCAGAACCAGTGGTGGAATTCAAATTTTTTTTACTACCGGTTCTGTGGGCATAGCTTGGTGGATGTGGCAGGGGAAGGATACTGTAAAACCTCCAGTCAGAGGTAGTATTTGCTGGTTCTCCAAACTACTCAAAATTTCCACTACCGGTTCTCCAGAACTGGTCAGAACCTGCTGAATGTCACCTCTGGTCAGAACCTGCTGAATACCACCTCTCCTTCTTCCCTCCCTCCCTCCTTCCTTCCTTCCTTGACAGAAAGAGATACAACCTAGAAGTAAGGAGAAATTTTCTGACAATAACACCAGTTAATCAATGGAATAACTTGCTTCTTGTGGGTGTTCCATCACTGGAGGTTTTCAAAAATAAGGTTCCTGCCTTGAGCAGGAGGTTGGACTAAAAAACCTCCGAGATCCCTTCCAACCCTATGATTTTATGATTATTCCAAACTACAGCCTTAGACTGAAATTCATTGTAAGAACCATGACATCTGATCTTCTTCCTTTACAAAGTCTCCTTTAAAATAACCAACTGCTACCTATCAAGCTGGTGAGATTTACTTCCTAAGTCTATACGTGCAATCTTCTGGGCTCAGAAGAGATAATATACTGTATATTGTGGCAAATTCTCTCTCCTTACCAGCTGTTCTTTTGCACAGCAGCATATTTCATTACATGAACGAGTTTAGAGCCAAATTGCACTGTCAGACTAAACTGAGTACCTGGCTTGAATGATTCATAAGGCTGCAGTTCTCAGTTCACTTATTCTGAATAACACCGTGCCGGGGTTGAAGTGAATTACGCCCGAATGCTGATCAAAACAGAAAGAAATTATTTGCAACCTGACTGTCTGTGTCACCTGGTTTCCCATCCCATATTAAGGAGAAGAATACTTTGATTGTTGGTTGATCATGGATTGCATCAGCTACATGGACGGTTGAGGTAGGATCAGGGCTGGGCTGCTGGGGGTTCGCAGGGGTTTGGGGGAGCCCCTAGCTAAGATTCTGTGCAGTTTGGAAAAACCCCAAATCCCTTTCCTGGCTGGCCCCAGTCACCCCACCCCGCCCTCCCAGGAGTCCCCACGCGGTCCATTTTGGATGCAGGTAAGTGCAGGGGCGCACAGAGGCTCGGGAGTGTGAAAAATGGGCCACCCAGAAGTTTGGGAAGGCTGGAAATGGGCCTGTTTCAGGCTTCCAGAGAGCCTCTGGAGCCCAGGGAGGCCATTTTCACCCTCCCAGAGGCTCAAGGAAAGCCTCTGGAGCCGGGAAGGGAAAAATGCCCCCCCTCCACCGTGGTGCAGGAGGCTTACTAGGCCACGCCCACCATGGCCACGCCCACCCAGCAACCAGGCAGAGAACCCATTGCTAAAATTTTTGAAGCCCACCCCTGAGTAGGTTGTGGTGTCACAGTGGGTGGGTGGAAATTGTGGTTAGGTGGTTTTCTTTTAGGGATTGATTTTATGTCAATTATTATTATTATTATTATTATTATTATTATTATTATTATTATTATTAT